GTGACAGTATTTGTTAACTTTCGAGAGCCCTTGAAATCATAATATTTTTAAAGGCCCGTCCTCAGTGCAAATATTTAATATTTAAATTTCCAATCGTACTTCTACCCAAGAGATTGAAATGGGGTCTCGTCTGGCCGGGCTCTCTATATATTTTTCCTATAGAATGAAATTAATTTATTACATCAATATTTATGTTTCACTTAAATTATAATGCGTGAATGCAGCCAGCCCTCGTCTAAACTTTTACATTTTGCGATTTCCAAGGGAGTCCTGTGTTCTGGGCCCTTTGCCATTGTTGGAATCGTCCTTTCTGCTCGCCACAAGGCAAACAAAAAAAAAAGGGGGGGCAGTCGCCTCTGTGTGTCTGGGGGGGGGATGGGGGCTTTGTCGAGGAATCGCAATCAGCCATAATAAATATTAAAAAATAGCGCATAAAGTCAAACATCGGGTGAAACTTTTCTAATAAAATAGTGGGGAAATGCAATTGCAAAATGGTTTCAACTTTTATACTGCATTTCGGGGGGGCATATTCAAAAACCATTTTTCGCCTATCAGGAAGTGTTTCAACAAATATTGACAGACTCTGGAAAATGGGCATGGCAGTGGGGGCGGTTGAGCCGGTCGGCATAATTAACCGTTAATATTGCAGAAGCGGCAAACAAAGTTTGTTTCGGCTGTATTTCTATTGCTGCTATTTGCCTAGAACTCTCTGCCACCCACTGGCCCGGGCCAAGGGCGTAGCAAGAAGCTATAAGGGGGGGATGCTATCTACCATTTAATAAGCTCGCAGTTGCTGTTTGTGTTTTTCAACACTGCAAACACACACATCGCATGTTAAGAGGGGGTGGAGGAAAAATCGCAGCTCAAACTCAAACACACAGTACGAGGGCAGTGCCATGGGGGACGAAGTATAGTACTTGAAGCCTCCCTGCCACGCCCTGCTGGCCTCTTCTATGCCGGCAGATGCGCTTTTGCTCATTTTTCGGTGTCAATGAACAGTTTTAACATATTAGCAAAGTTTCTTAAAGTACACATAAATATGTTTGATGTGAGTGGGTGCAGGAGTGGGGGGTGGCAGGCTCAGAAAAGCGCTCGAGAAGGTAAACGGAATATTATGTAAGATGCCGGCAGCCAAAGTGGCGGATGAGTGCTTGGCTGGCTGGGGGGTGACTGTGACTAGTTCTCTGCCCTCGAAACCTTTTCCCAAAAACCCAACTGGGGGATTGGGGGACTGGCAAATCCCGGCCCATCCCGGCCCATCCCGGCAATTGGACTTACAAATCAACTCAATAAAAACAATTTTCGATATTAAATTATCATTTTACTTGCCGGGAAAAACTTTCACTCCTCCACTAGCCTCTACTATTCTCCATCCACTGGCCACACATTGTACCCTGCCTGGGATATTACCACTCCATGGCACCACTACCTCACCACTACTACTACTATAACAAAAGGATGTCGTGTCGTGCCGCGTCGCTTAATCATGGCAATGATTTATAACGCTTTCAAGGAGCGCACCAAACTCGAACTTGTCGACGCCAACTCTCCGATTCTCCTCAAGGTGAGAGGGGTATTTCCGGGAGGATGGGTTAGATGGGGGTGGTTGGGGTAGAGGCGGCGGAATGACTTGGCAGACAAAGCGTAGTAACTAGCTTAGGAGACCAGGGCTGGGGGAAGTTTGAGGCCAGGTCGGAACATAAGTTTTCCAGCTACTTATACGGGCTGCAGTCAGGGGAAGGGGGTGGAGGTTGGTGAGGGATAGGGGGGGTTGGAATTTATCTTACGAAAAATGATTTGGCTCATTATCAACAGGAGCCAAAGTGCAGCCTTCGAGCACTGAGAGAAATAGAGTGAAAGATCTTACTATAAGTGGGACTTGATGGGAATATTATTAAGAAATAAAAATAATAATCTTCCTTATAAGAAATATAACTCTAGATTTGCACCCCCTTTTTTTTGAGTGTATAAAAATCCAGAGTTACATTTATAGACAAAAAGAGATATAAAGAAAAAGACAAGGACACGAAGAGCAAGAGCCCTGGACCAGGAGCTTGGGCAGGAACTGGGGCTGGAACTGGAGCTGGAACTGGGCCTGGGGTGAGAGACATCGAAGAAACGCATAAATCAACAACAAAAGCAGAAAAAATGATTTATTTTTGTTGGCTGCTTCTTCAGCTTCTTCTTCTTCTTCATCTTTTGTTGGCCAAAAACCACCCCCACCCCACCCCTACCACCAGCCCTTAATAATTTTTTTTTCTCCAGGATGGGGTGTTGTATGATTGCTTCTAATAAGTAAAGTGGGATAATGCCGAGAATTTGTGGGGTGGGGAAGGGGAAGGCGGCAGAAAGAACACAAAGGTGTGTAGTGTATGCTGGAGTGTGTGGGTGGAAGTACGAGTGCGAGTGTGTGTGCACACCCACCAATAATAAAGTAATCAAAGTGATATGGTGTTGATGCTGCTGGGAGGGGGGACATGTGTGTGTGTGTGTTGGCAGGGCAGGATAAAAGAAAGAAACCCCGCAATATGTTGTTGCCAGGACTCTCCAGGACCCACCTCTTACCGAGACTTTTCCCGAGATTATGCCATTAAGACATGAGGCAATCGAATTATGGTCCTGGCCTGCAAATGAAATTGAATAAGAAATGGCAACGGAGGCGCATAACTCTCCACAGCTGGGAAACTTCCTGGAGCTGTCCAGCCCCAAAGAAAGATCGAAGCCAGGATGATGATTATCTAAGGCGGGAGGAGCGCCCCTTCTCCCCCTGATAATTAAGCAATAGTGGCTCCGAAACTTTATTCGACATGTGTTTGGCGTCGTATTCCGCCAAACCAGCCAGCCAGCCAACCAGCCAGCCAGCCGCATAAATAAAAGCTTAATTGCCTCCTCAAGTGCCAGGTGCATCTACCTACCTGCTGCCCTTTGCCACTAAAAGAAAATACTCGAATCCAAGCCACAAAAACATACTCCCCAATAGCGAAGAGAGAGGAACAAGTTTTCGGAACGACAAAGTATAAAACATATGCTGAAACACCGATTGCAATTAATCTTGTGCAAGTCTTAGCCTCCAGTACCCATATAGCCCCCCTTGTGGAATTGGTAAACAAAACACCGGAGGAAAACTTCGGGAGAACCGCATTCGGGACTTCCTAGCCCGCAAACAGGAATCAGGCTATTTGTGCGGAGGCTGATCTATTGTTGGCAAAGCTACTTTGCTGCATACCTCAAGGCGCCACCCACAGCGACTATGTGTCTACGCCCAAAGCACACACACACACTACCTACATACATATATATGCGTATGTGTTCGTGCTATAGACAGTTTTGGGGCATCCTTAAATACCAATTTATGGCACAAGCAGATAAAGTCCAAAATCTGCACTTAATCTTTAGCATTGTTTAATTTCGACTCATTGAGTTGGGCGCCAAAAGCCCCCGCGCTCCGTCTAACTTTCTTTTCAGCCTTGCCAGAGGGTGTTGTGTGGGTGAGTGGGCTAGTGGGCGTGGCGGTATGAATTGGCATTGTTGTCAGGGAGGTGGAGGAAGGTTAGGTAGGCGGGGCATGGGCCCTTAGTTGCCTGGGAAATAAATCGCTGTCGACGGGTACAATGTAGTGCACTGAAAGAAATGAGGGTTTGAGGAACTTAACATATTCCTAAATTTTTAAAGAAGAAAACTATATACAAAATACTATAAACTATACTATAATAATCACCAAAAAAATATATTGATTTGCAAAAGGTCACCTTTTTTTTTTTGCCTGCAGAAATCAAAGGCTGATTTCGGGAAGAACTTAGTGGGCTTGTGTGCAACATTTGATGGCTCATTGCAACTCCAGGAACAACAAGAAGAACACATCCTTGCTCAACAGGCGCAACAGTCGTCCTTCAACAGACACCCTCCCTTGGCCCGATTTTGCGGCTTCCAGGACCTTGTAGACCAAGCCAAGAGTTGCTTCCTAGTTAAAACTTACAACTTGCGCGTTATTTCCTGCCAAAGCCAAACACTCGCCCTCCGAGAAATGGGGCTGGGGCTTGGGATGGGGGGCCTGCCACCGCTTTTCCAAACCAACCGCAATGCCCTCCGTACTTAAGGTGTTAACGCAAAAGCTTGACTCATAAAATATTGAAAAAGCCGCAAAAACTTTGCACCAAAAAAGAGCTCCGAAAATACACATAGGTAATAGAGTAAGCAACCAAAAAACCGTCTCGAAATAGGGGGGGAGCCGGTGCTGCCGTGAAGGTGGGGATTTCGGAGGATTCCGGGGGATATTGCGGCGGAATGTCGGAACCCCAAATTGAACATTTAAGTGGTGGAGCCGGAACAACTTTCCAAACTTGACTCTTTCACCTAACAAATGCGCTATAAACAACTTTCAAAGGGGGAATATTCATATTAATTGTCCTTATACGGATGCATACACATATCCTTAACCGTATTGCGTTTAGAGATTGTACTCTTATGGAGGCTGGATATGAATCGGATATGTAGTGTGTTTAATGCAAAATCGATCTAGGAATTGTTTAAGGCATTCCGCTTATGAATCCGACAAATATTGGCCAAGATATAGCTTCCCCAGTGGGCCATATATCCACTTTCGGGAGCTTTCCCTGTTTTCGAAGAGGGTCCCCTTGAAAAATTGGAAAAAAAAGTTATCGAAAATATAGATTCTTGGTTTTGATGCAGTTTTCTGCGGAACCGATCTAGGAGTAGTTTAAGGCATTCGTCATGGGAATCTGATGGGTTTTGGCCAAGATATAGTTTCCCTAGTGGACCATAAATGCACGAAGAGGGTTCCTTCAGAATATTTGAGAAAAAAAGGATCGAAAACGTAGTACCTAAATTTTAATGCAGTTTCTTGGAGAATCAATCGAGGACTCAAGATATTCCGCTTAAGAATGGAAAGCATTTTAGACAATATTTTAAATCATAAACATTTCAATATAATATTTATAAGGAGTTTTCATGGCACTTTCCGTCAAAACATCAATTCGAGTTTGTTTTTAAAAATGTGAAGGTAGCTAGACATTGTTGATACGTTCCAAGTCGTCTTGGTGTGGCGGATCCTTTTGTGCCTTCGGGGTCCTGCGGCCAACTGACCCACAGACATCAGCCATGACGGCTGGCCACCTGATCCTGCTGCAGTTCAGCATGCACTGCTTCAAGATCATCTTTATATACTGCATCTGCGTGAATGTCCTGGAGCATCTTGTGCAGCGGGTGCAGGACACATGACCGTGGTGGCAGGGCAATGGAGGTCGCAGTAATCCGAACCGTGAAACAATAAAAAAAATAAAAATAAAGAATCCGCAGTTTGGCACCCCACCGAATTATCTTTTTTTTATCTCTTTTTTTTGGGGGGGAGAAATTGTAAATCGATGCGATTTACGCAAACGAAGTATAATTTTTAATGGGCGCCTGCCTTCGGGCATAAATTACTTTTGGGAGAGGAAATTTAAATTACCTGCGATGTAATTACACAAAAGAATATGCCAATAAAAATGACTTATGTATCAATTTCCTTTACGACACAGGAAGCGGGGCTCAGGTCGCAGGACGACGCACGAAGGACGAAGGATGAAGGACGCAGGACACAGTATGATAATAACAAACGCAATGTAGCACAAAGCGAAAAATTTTCAATTTTATTTTTATTGCCTTATTGTGTATCAAATATTTACAATTATTTGCCATGAGCCGTGAGCCATCAGCCGTAAGCCATGAGCCATATAGCCATGGAGCCGGGGAAATGAGCAGAAGGCCCAGACGTCGGCAATTTATCGGCGGGGTGGGAAAATAGGTCTGGGGGGGAGGGGGTGAGGCATGCAATGCTGATAAATTCAAATAAATTACAGCAATGCAGTGTAACCAAGGTGAAAATGACGAGACTTTTCGACGCGAAAAACCACCCACTGACAAAACTACAGACGTGGAAAGTTTCTCGATCAAAAAGCGCCAAGAAAGTGGCACGGATGCCGTTCCGTTCCCCCCTTACCATCTGCACCATCTATCCTTTGTGGCGGCATTAAAATTTTATTTTAATGTCATCGAGACGTTGATTTACAGCCCCCGGGTCTCTCTGTGAGCCCGCTGAGCGGTATGTATATTTTAATAATATTTTATTACTTCGAAAAGTGGTAATAGCGCGTGAATGGCAAGCAGACACAGGTTGTGAAGTACTATATACATACTTCTTGGGGAGTCCATCAGCTTGGAGAATGAGTTTGCAGACCCGACACTTGTTATTTTGGAGTCTGATATCCAAAAAGATTAAATTTAAAAGGGCACTAACCGTCTTTCGAAATTAGAGCTCGTTGGCAAAATAAATACTTACAGCCAGGTATTCCGAGACTGGATACAATTTCCACCTGTTCTGTTTACTTCTCCGGTTGTGAAACCCGGCAATTGAGACGAAACACAAACAGGTTTCCATCAATTGGAAACACATTTGCCGTCAGCTTTCCGCCTTTTCCGGGCTGGGGCTTTCCCCAATGCTATAGCTGGTTCATTTAACAACAATTATAATGGTTTCCACTGTTTTTGGCATTACTTTTAATGGGCTGAGCTGGTCTGGGCTGTCTATTGAAGACGGAGCCCGGTAAAACTTAATGAAATGAAACCCTAGGAGATGCAGTCTCTCAGGCTCTGGTTTTAGGCGTTTTGTTGAAATCTATTTTAAGTAATATTTATGTGAATTTACCCTGCATTTCATCTTGAACCAATTAATTTTTATTTATGCCCCTGTCGCCTTTGGTAATATATATATATTTTTTTTTTATACTGTGCTCCCTTATCAAACAAACAGTTGGCAAAATGATAAATGCCCCTCGGCTCGCCCACCCCTCCCCCTGGTAATTTAATATTTTTCATTTTTTTTTTCCGAAAGTTTCTGTTTTTTTTTTTGACATTTCACCGCAGGAGGATGGAGGAAGGGCGGTGGAGCTGCCCAAAAAATGACAATTTTTAATTATCAAATGCGTTTAATGATAAAAATTTTAAGCGTGGGGGGCGGGGAGTGGCCACTTCCCCCGGTCCTGGATTTTAATTTATGATTTATTTGTGTGGGTGGCGGCGCCCATAATAATTAATATTGCACACAAGGAAATAGCGGAGAAAATAAAAAAAAAACCGAAAACCCGGAAAGAACCCGGGAGCCGAGTGGAAGACACGGCTCGAGAGCAAAGGCGTCGAAAAGAAATCCCCTTGGGGGGCGGGTGGCGGAGGCGAAATACAATTTTTTCATAAATCTTACGAGGCGACAAAAAAAAAAAAAAGAAACGGGGTGGCATGGGGGGGACAAGTAAGTGCAATGTCATTGAGGCGAAAGTAGAAAGGGGAATACGAAACAAAACCCAACAGGCCCGCGGCTCAGACGAACCCGAAGCCCCCAAACCCCACCCCCATGTACATACATATGTGGCGTCTTGAGAACAGAAAATTAAAAGTATTTCTCGAATTATTGTTAATGATGATTAAAAATATGTGTACTTGCCTGGGACGCCAGGTGCGTCGGCGGAAGTAAAAGGTGTGCTTTTCAAGGGTGTAACAACAGATCCAGGGCGGGGGCGTGGTGTTGAGACCCATGTAGGCCTAGGTTGGGGAGTACAGCAGCTACTCCCCAAAGCAACGTATCCTGATTTGAGTGACTCAGACTCAGTGCCTTTTCCAAAAGCGCACTCCAGTCGCACTAATATTCAAATATAATATGCATGGCTCCGAGTCCAAAAACTTCAGACAAATCATATGTATAAGGAAAGGTATGGTACACACACACACACGTCCTCTTCCACCCAATAATTCTATTGAAACGAGCTCGTTGTGCCCCCACAAATGAACATTACGCCTCTCGGTGTTATTCGGAGGGTTGCAGGCGTGTGGCGGCACTCGATAACATAATTATCTGTCATAATCAGTAGGCGTTGAAATGTGCAATTTAAAGTGCAATTTAATGCGCGCCAGCAGCCAAAAACAACAATTCCACAGATACGCAGATGCACAGATATACAGATACATAGATACACAGATACGGTGCAACATTACAGCAACAGATACAGATTGGGGTACAATAGGGATGGATGTGAGGCTTAGAGGGATGATATTTACTCCCCTTTGGAGAGTTTTAATATCCATAATTATAGTATCTATTGCTAGTCTACTATCTGGTGGCTAAAAAAATCCAGATTCTAGTTAATCTATTAGTATACCTCCTAAGGTATATATTAAAGTCGGTAAGGGCTGATACAACCCCCTTGTTGATTGTGTCAGTTTTGAGTTTTTGCGAAAATTTGCATCGGATTATTGCAATAAACATAATTATGCGCGCTGCATATGATTTTTCAATTAAACCATGCAACCCGTTGCCACGGTGCCGAAGGGGGGTCCTTCCCCCAGCACTCCAGGGCCCTCGGCAAATAAAGGGTTTATAAACAGAAGGGAGAGGGTGGGGCAGAGTGTCCTCTGGTGGTGATGATGCCGAGGGATTTTGGCCTGACAGCGGCAACCAATTGCCGCTCGTTGCGGGTGTTTGTAATGCATATTTGTTAATTAAGTGTCGCATGTGTCCTCCGCCACACATACAGTCCTAGTCTCCTGCCCCTGCCACAGCAGGTGGTGCAACTGTAGCGCTGCTTAAGTGGAATCAATGGATTGTAATTCAGAGATAATCATCCAGTCATCCAGTATGGGCAAGTGCGAAAAAATGGCACACATTCGTCATTAAAATTTCGTTGCCAAGGACCCTCCCCGTCCATGCAGGACGAGAGGGACTTCAATTAGGCAAGGTGTTGAAGCAGAAACACCATCCACTCTGTGTCTTTGAAAGCGAAATCGTTGTATTTGGAATCAGAACAAAAAAATAAATATACGGGGCCCTGAAGCAAGAGCGCTTGTGGTGTCAATGGGGATCCAAGATCTTAAGCTAAAAAAAAATACAAAAAAAAACAAAGCATCTGCACTAGGTGAGAGTTACAATTGCCACAAGTCCTGCCACTGGGATCTCCCGATCCTGGAGACTCAGCTCGATGATGTAATCGCCTTTGGGGGCATCGTCGGGCAGGAAATTGGTCTCCATTTCATAGTTATCGATCTTGTACTGGCCTTTCGGAAAAGGGCAGTTTCCCTGCTCGGGCAGGTTCGAGGACTTCTGGATCTCGGGATAGGTGTCCTGGTCCTCATTTATGAACTGGCAGAAGGGCTTGTTTACATTCATAACCAGAGGACCCTTCTGCTTGGCCGCCGAGTCATAGACGAACACCCGCAGGGCTATCTGAGATTAGAGATTAAAGCGACTTAGTCCTTGTAGTTCATCCATAGGACTGGACTGGACTTACTTTCTGTTCATCGCCCATATTCAGTTTGAACTCAAAATCACCGGCCACCACGAACTTGTTGCGTCCGACCTTCTTCATCCGCAGAGTGCCCCAGTCCACCCACTTCTCCTGGTTGTCGATCATCGAATCCTTGTCGAAGGAATTCAGCTCCACGCTGTAGGGCTTCTCGGCTCCTGTCCAGACCAGAAACGAGAGGAGGGCCAACAGCCCGAGGGCAAAATGACGCTGTGTCATCGCGAACCGAACTGTGAACTGATCGCTTCAGCTTCCCCCTATATAGCGACACGCTTGGCCTGGATTTGGTCTAATCCAGCACGCTAGATCGGTGTAGCAACGTGATTAGAGGGGCTTATCTTCCGACATTACTATGTGAGCTGGCCGAGGTCGGGTTGCATGTTTCGGAAACCGTCAATTGTTCAGTTTGTGAGGTAACTCCTCTGCATAGCCAACTGAACCCTTCATTTCCACCTAGCCATCGAAGGCCAATACCTAAGCCGATGCACATGAACTTCCGGAGACACTCAACGTCTGTTTCCTTGAATATTTATGGTTTGGCGGGTCGTCTCCCGGCCCCACCACCACCCGGGGGCCATCGCCACTTAAGTCAAGACAGCAACCCGAATAACTTTGCAGCAGCACTGGCAGAAAGCCGGAGGAAGGAGCCAACAATCCAACGAAGGAGGTCTCCTGCCAGGACGAGACGCGACCTAAAACAACAACAAAATCCGATGGGAACATTGCTGGGCCGGCGATAGTTCGATGAATTTATTACTTTTGATGTTCAAACACGAAACTGCTGCAGGCCATAAAACAAGGTCCTAGACCCGACCGCCTCGACTCCCCGGCCCCCATCGGACCGCGGCCCTGTCATCTTCGAGGACTCGAGGACGGGGTCGAGGGCCGTAAATGCTATTAAAACTTTACATGTCTCAATAGAGTGTTAAGAGCTTAGTTCGCGCAAAATATTCCCAGAATTGCAGCCGGCAGAAAGTTTAGCTGCCAACAAGGATAATCGATGGCGACACTTGAAACAATAATGTGAACTTTTCAAATAAAAGATTCCACACCATAGACCATATTTGCTTCAAAGTTCCAAGTAAAATATATACTATTTAATTAAAGCAATGTCGAAAATAATTACACACTGGTACTGCGTCTCTCATAGCAAGAGTCACGTGACAAAATAAACGAAACATCATTTCAATAAAATACAAACAAACAAACAAAAAAATGTTATATACGTATAGCAGAGCAACACCAGAGGTCCTGGCTGGGGAGCAGAGACAAAGTCAAAGGTGGGGCTACTGGAGGGTGAAGACTGAAGAGCGAGCTTAAAGAAATGCAGCGAAATTAAAATAAAATAAAATTTACGTTGAATTAAAAGGAAGCAGGAAGAGCCAAAGTAAAGGGTGAGGTTGAGGAATGCAATGATTTTTTTAGAAAAGGGTCGAAGAGGTGATACCTTTGGAAGGACACGAATAGATACTTTTTGACCCTACTGAGTTCTCTGAGGATTTTTATAAAGAAACAGGTTAAGTGGAAGTATCCATGGGTATGGCCTGAATACCAGCTTGTCTTAGACTCCGACTGTCCTCTAGATACTCCCGATTCTGACCTGGCTTCTATATCTATCGTAGTACTTTCATAAACTATAGGTACCCCTGGATATGGCCTGAATACCAGCCTGACTAATACTCCACCTGTCCTCTAGATACTCTTGATTCTGACTTGGCTTCTATATCTATTGTAGTACTTCCATAAACTATAAGTACCCCTGGGTATGGCCTGAATACCAGCTTGACTAATACTGCGACTGTCCTCTAGATACTCCTGATTCTGACTTGGCTTCTATATCTATCGTAGTACTTTCAGAAGCTATAAATACCCCTGGCTATAGCCTGAATACCAACCAGACTAATACTCAGACTGTCCTCTAGATACTACTGATTCTAGTTTGGGTACTTGATCGTAGGGAGTACTTTCATAAGCTATAAGTACCCCTGGCTATAGCCTGAATTGCAACCAGCCTGAATACTCCAACTATCTTCTAATTAAAAACCTACAGGGTATCTCTGATGCGCAAGAGGACTGAAAAAAAAAGCTGGAAAATAACGAAACTGACAGGAGTGTGGGGCAGGCGAGTCGTGACTTCATTTGCCTGACACTTGGCTAAGGGAAAGTGACGCGAGCGGGTGGGTGGGTGGCGAGTGGGTGGATTGGTTGTGGCATCAAGTGTGTGCCATAAAGAAGTCGGGGGCGGTAAAGAAAAAAAAAGAGCGGGTGCCAAAAGAAAGGCTGCAAACGATTCCTAATTGAAAACTATTAAATTCTCTTCCTTTTTTTTTGTTTTGCGTTGTCTTCCCGCCTGCTGATACTTTTGCCACCCAAACCCACTCAACCCACCCAACCACCGCCTAGCTCCAAGCCAGCTTCCATCTCATTCTTGCCGCGATGGTCCTACGCTTCGTCCAAATTGGAACTTGAATTTCATTTCGAATGACATTCGCTCCATCACGCGTCAACTGCAGCCAACTCGTGGCACGTAACCGGGATGGTTAAAAAAAAAATATAAAAAAAACGAAAGGAAGATGGCAAGGAAAAAATGGTAAAGAAAAGCGGACATTTTCATTTAAGCATATTTAATTAGATGCAATTATTTATGGTATTAAATAGATGAGGCAGTAAATGTGCTGTGCCGGCTCGCCACCCAAAGCCACCCACAGAAAAAAAAGAAGAAAATTGAAATAAAATGCTAAAGAATTGCTTCGTTGTCTGTCGCCGAAGCAAAGTTAAAAAAAAAAAAAAAGAAAACCCCAACAACAACAACAGGGTGAAATAAACAAATACAACAACCAATTAGGAAAAGAAAAAATTCTGGAAGAGCTGGAAAAAGAAAAATATTCAATTCCTGGCTCACTCAAAAAGGCACAATGTTCTGCATTAAAAAAAAAATGCCACGCCCCGACGCCCCAGTCGCCCACTCATCCAACCCCGCCCCACTGTCCCATGCGCATCATTTAGCAGCCAACCATAACAATTGGCGCCCCCCACCCATCCACCCATCCCCTCTAGTTTCATTTCCATATAATCCCTCGGACGAAGGAGTGCATTTAAATGGCAGGAAATTTTCAAAAAATTGAAATTTAAGTCTTTGATATATTGGTGCCGATTTATTAGACGCCCCCTTTTTTTTCTTAGCTCTTCTGGATGGACACACCCCCAGGAAAAAAAGCTTAGACCTTCCCTTGGTCCATGTCCGAGATGGAAAATATTACACATAATTTTATGAAAATATTTGAATCTGTTAGAACTATCCCCACAAATACTCAACGATAATCGCCACAAATCCACACCTCCCGTGGCCTGATATTTATTGGAGTTAATGATTCGAGACCATGGACGGTGGTCAACCCCTTTCACACCTTTCGTGCCAAATCACGCAGATTGACAAACGTTTAACATTATTCCCCCCATTCGAACCTTTGGACCGACCCCTTTCGACCTGACCCTTTCCTGTCCGGACACTCTGGACTCTGGAGAACCCTTGTCAACATTGCGTAACCGAAACTATTAAAAAGATCAGCCGGACACTTGACTCTCTACGGCCACAAGGCCGGCAAGGACATAAAAATTGACGCAAAAAAAAGGGGCGAAAGGAAATAAAATTCAAGAGGATTTTTGGCCATTTTTCACACGATACTGTCTTTAGCCTCGACATATGTTCCTGGTCAAATCGATTAAATAAATCATTAGCATCTTTTGTGGCCAATTTCTTGTGTCCTTTTTTTTTTTTTGTGGTGTCCTGGCGTGTCACTTGTGTGTGTTAGTGTGGTGTGTGGTGCAAATTGTTTTTTAATACGCAAGGAAGGCGACAAGAAATGTGGGTATTCTTCTTATTCCCCGTTTGACATGTAATTTGTTGCGCTTTTATGGGGATACTCGAAAAAAAATAATAAAAAAAAGAATAAGATCCCATTGGGGAATAAAGGTTAGTTTCCAAGACACAAAAGTATTTGAATGTTTGGGCCCATTATTGAGAGACGACACGGCACTTCATCTTAAAGGTCTTTCCCCAAAAAATGCTTACATAATATTCTATATTAAATGGGTGTCGTGCAAATGTCCAATAAATTTTGCTATTTTTCTACTCATAGCCACCTTTTTTTTTTTTTTCGTTTTTGCGACCTTGTTTGGTCCAACGTCATTGTAGTCCCATGTCCTTACCGGATCCCCGCCTCAGTGTCGAACCCTTTTCATTATATAACGATGGGCGTGTGGCTTTAGAGACGACAGAAAAAAAAACAAATTCGAGTCGAATCATATGACAATAGTTACGTTTTTTAACGGCATTCTTCTATTCCCAACATATTTCACATTTAAGGCAATAAAATTCCTTTTTTACGCCTTTTTGTTGACAAAAAAAAATGAATAGAAAAAGAGTTGATTTATAGAAGTCGGAATATTCGTCACTAATATAAGCCAAATTTGGAGGTACCTTTGCCTTCTTTTTAAGCACTATCCCTTACGGTTTCCTTTCCTATTCGATTTCTTTATTATTGTTTCTTATAAAATATATAAAAATAGGTCCTTTGGCCTTACCTGAAAATGATTGGAAAAGGAGTTGATTTATAGAAGTCGGAATATTCGTCACTAATATAAGCCAAGTTAGGAGATACCTTCGCCTTCTTTTCAAGCACTATCCCTACAGTTTTTGGTTTCCTAATTATTGTTTCTTGTAAAATATACGAAAAGGTCCTTTGGTCCTTGCAAATATATGCATAAGCGTGTCACATAGACATCACTACGTGGTCCATTGTTTCAACCGAGCTCTGGCCCGCGAAATCTTTCGCAAAAGCAGAGCTTTACAAAAAAAACGCAAACAATTTCTTGTAATTAAAATCCATGGCCTCTTCTGGTCCCCTCCCCCCCAGCCCACTTAGACGGGGGGGTTGGTGGTTCAGTCAGGTGCTCAGCTGCGCCAATCAGTCACAGACCAGTCAACCACCGTAGCTTCCAGGTCCCGCGTCCGGTCTAGCTTGTCACTGCAGGCTGCAGGAGTGCAGGCAGGTGTGGGTTAAAAAGGGGGTGGTCGGCCCCAAAGGCAGACACCGGGCGACCTTTGCCCCATAGCCTCACTCGGGTTTTTGCCTCATTTTTTGTTTTTTTTTTTTGTTCAAGAATTACTGATTATTAATTCATTTTGAACCAGTGAGGCATTCATATTTCTGCAGTAA